CGCGAGCCCGATCTGGCGGATCTGGCCGCGCGGGACCGGATCCGATCCGCCGGACCTCGTCACCACGGATCCCGAGATGGCGGCGCGATGTGGGGGGGGCGAGGACGGTTGGCTGCCTCTCCCTCCACCACCCCACGACGCCGGATCCACCACGCCACGGATCACCATGGTCCCGAGACGCAGGGCCCGGGCTCTCTCGGGCCGGATCGCGGATCTGCCGGTGGTCTCGCCAGTGATGGGCTCGAGAATGGGCTCGCCGCGGCTCTGGTTTTTTTTTTTTTAAATAATTAACCGCAGCGGGCATCCTAACGTGCCCGCCGTGGTAAAAGTATATTTACCGCGGCGGACACGTTACACTGCCCGCCGCGGTAAATCGGTTAACCGCGGCGGGCAAGGCCGCCCGCTGCGGTTAAGCCATGATTTACCGTGGCCTCTAGGCCGCGGCGGACGGCTTTGCCAGCCGCGGAAAATCGAAAACGCCCGCCTCCAGTAAAGTTTGTGTAGTAGTGGCGGCTCGGCGAACTTCGCGCCTGGCGGATCTCCCTCTCCTTCTTCTTCCCCAATGGTGCGGGAGCGGGCCACCTCGGACGCGAGCGAGCGCGGACGATTTGCGTAGCGAAGAGAGAGGCGATGCTTTTTTGCGTATCGATTGCTTCGGTAGGCAAAATGGGTGACAGGTTTGGGTCGACCGTTGGATGGTGTTTTTGGATAGGCAAAGCACTGTTGGGGACGCATTTTGGGTTTGCCAATCGGCGTTGGAGACAGTCTCATTTCTCTGATCACGTTTGTCTCTGTTCCTTCTCTGCCAGGTGCTGCGCTCGTTGAGTGTGGAGCTCTCGTAGTACCTGCCGCTCCTGCTCAAGCTCGTCGTGGTGGTGTACGCCGTGCTGTGCCTAGGCGAGCTCCTGCATAGATGGTCATCAGGCGGCCGCTGCTCGCTCTCCCTGGTGCGCCTGAGCAGCCAGCAGCAGCGCTGCAGTGCAGTGCAGTACTGGGTGCCAACAGGAGGCTGATGATGCAAACGTAGAGCTCTTCTGCTGCTGCTGCTGCCGCACCAAGCAAAGCACTGCCATTTTCAGGCTCCACGAAGCAGGTGCCAGGTTGGATTTGCTTTTTTGTTTGCTCAGTCTATGCTTGTTGATTTTTGAGCGCCTTTTTGCGTGAAAAAATGATTTTTTTTCACATGGTGGATTTAAGGACTGCACGGATGATGTCGCTGCTCAACCAGAAGGTGCTGGAGATGATTTTTTGCAGCACATTTCCATGTATGATGATAACCTCAGTTGCCAGTTGGTGTTGCTCAATTGAATAAAAAACACATAATTGGAGAGAACTTCATATCATTATTAACACATTAGCCGTGCATAAAACATACAAGTGTTATGCTTTTTTTTGTTAGCTGAGTTATTATGTTTCTTAGTATGTGCTCATCTGAATTTCATCTCACTTTTAACAGAGTTATTATGCTTATTATTTTGTTGTTTGAGTTATTATGCTCTTTGTTGGTTGATTTGTGTTTATAGATGGCACCGTAGCGTTAGCACGGACAATATACTATATAAATAAATATATAGTGTACTATAGGCTGGTCAAACCGATTACACATTGATTACAGGTTAATCTTAATTACTGATTGATCATGTCATTCTCCTTGATTGAATATTGCCTGTCATGTGATAGAGGAATCACGACAAAATAAGAAGTAGAAAATTATTATGCTATCTATATATACATTGCATGTTTGCATGCACCAGCATATATAGCAACGAGCAAAAGAAAAGAGAATTAATACAGAAGAAAAGAGAATTAAGACAAAAGGAAAGAGAGAGACTACTATCAATCCCCTGCTATAAATCATGTGGCCTCGTCATAGCGCCCACCCTCGCCAGCTGAGCTCACCCTCGCTCGCACCGGCCTCCGCCCTAGCCCGTCGCCCGAAGGACTTGCGCCTGACGTCCCCTTAAGCATCGCGACCTTGATCACAAGCAAGTCGAAGCCTGACGTCGCCGTCGTCGCTGGGGGCAGCAGCGCGTCGTGTCCCCTTGAAGCACGACGACGACCTCGATCACGCGAACCAAAGCCGTCAAGCATCGCGTCCCCGGCACCAGGTACATCTTGTGATCCATTCCTTTGTAAAACCACCGACGGCTAAATTTTTTGGCGGCACCTGCATGCGTGAGTTTCCTGGGCGCGGCGGGCTCATGTATCTGTTCTCCGATCAGCATCTCTTCATCGATGTCAACCTGCCCAAGGACGTCTCCCAGCAGCTCTTGTCGCCGAGGTTCAACGCCTCAGCACCAACCCCACAACCTTCAAGATACAGGGGATCTTTGACTTGCAACTTCTTTAGAATATACAAAACCAACTTCTATTAGGATCTTTGACTTGTAGCCAGTGAAAATTATTGAGAAAAAAATAATAGTTTCAGATGTAACATGTCACATGGGAAGGCACTGATCAGCACTCAGGATCCTTACATGTATGAGTGTGTTTCCATTGGTAATCCATCGTCGAAGTGTTCATAGATTGCTTTTCTGTTTTTCTCTAGCAGGTGCACATACACTATTTCCTGGTTCTCGAACAAAGCTTAATTGTTTTTAACTACGGATACAAACTCAGGAATTATAAGTGGAACTTATTGCGGATAGTTCCAAATCCTTCTGGCCCGTCCGGCCGCCCCTGCCCTGGTCGTGCGTCCTTCTTTCCCACGCTCCAAGAAAGAAAACCAGAGGCGCCCGTTATCCGTCTTCTCCCAAATCAGTTTGTTTCCCATGACGCAAGAAAGAAATAAAAAAATAGTAGAATGCGCGCGCCCTCCGCGCACGTGGATAAACAAAATATGAATGTTATATAGACACGTGCAGAATATGGTTGTTATATAGAAACCTTTGAATTATTACTCTATATGTTATCCTACTAATTATTGTTCTTTTCTTTTTATTCTTTAGAATGCAGAATTAATGACAAAAGGCCAGGGGCTCAGGGTGTGACTTCAAATACATTCTTTACTGTGTGGTTAGATCATATACTGATTTATGTGATAGACTTTCTTTACCGTGTGGTTATTCATACACTAATTTATGTGATAGACTGATGATGAAGTACGTCTTTTAGGTCTCGATGGATGGTATGGAGATGCGACGGAATTTATTCGTAGATTTATTGACGCACGAAAGAAATGGATATCGAAGATTTCTTCCTGCCGATATAAAACATTATCTTAGGCGCATCACGAAAAGGTCTATAAAGTAGAGTTTATAAGCCTGTGACGTCGCGCTCTCCGTGACTGTTAATTTCACAAACTTTGCTTTTTGGATTAACTGTAACTTTAACGTTGGTATTTAATTTTATAGTATTGTTATCTTATCGTGCGATCCGTATGTTTTTAGTACAAAAGTTTAGTTGTTTCATAGCAACGCACGGGCACACTAACTAGTATGACCCAAAAGAGAGAGATCAATACATTAGTCCTAAAAAAACAAAAATCAATCCATTTTCAATCAATTCACCACACATGTACAGTGTTTTCCTCTTGAATTGCTTATTAGCTACAATATTTTTCTTTTATAACAAAACAACATTAGCCATCTTATCAGCCACAGAAATTATCAGCCGAACAGGATTAGACCAGCACTTTTTGTTGTTCCGCCACTAGGTACGAGTGTGCATGTCCAAAGGAGTGATTTGCTCGTGCAGCATGCGCGTGTAGATAAAGCATATACTGTGTGTCCGAAATAAAAATAATAAGGGAAAAGATGTAAAGCCTTAAATTTTAATGTGAATGTGGAAACATTTTGTCTCCTGCTTTTGGTTACTGCATTGCCTATAGTACCGATGAAACAGTAGACATGTACATGCAAACGCAAAGCGGGACGGTTTCGCTGAAAGTAAGGATGGAGGAAAAATAGCAGAATTGCTAATTCTCAACCGAGTGATTTTGGTCCATTCCTCAACCGAATTTTAGGCGGTTGGATTTTACACGTGTCGGCATCTGCTCGGGCTCCTTCGCCGCTCCTCTGCTCGGGCGGGCGGGCGCTCCTTTGTCGCTCCTCTACCGCCGTCGCCCCGACACGGACATCCCCGGCGGGTAGGCCGCCGCCGCTGCCCCGGTGCGGACACAGGTGGAGCATCCCCGGCGGGCATCCCCAGCGCGGGTGTCCCCGGTGCGGGCGCCGCCGTCCTCTGCTTTCTGTCCCTTTTCTGCTGCTGGAAGACGAGATGTGGTCTCGGGTGTCTGTTCTTCTTTGCTCTTTCTCCGTTCTTCTATTTGTAAATTTGTATATTTGTGAACAATTTGATGTTATTTGTGAATAATTTGGCATATATTTCTCTGGTATCTAGAATCCATAGAAAAAATTTATAATTTTTTTTTAAAATTTGGCTTATATTTATCTGAGATCTTAGGTTATTCTCAAATTACACCACTCTGTCCTATATATTACACCGAAAAAATCAGCGTAAATATAGTAATAGAAGAGTGTAAATATAGCTAAATGATAATGTAAGTATATGAAAAAATTCAGTTAACAGGGAGAACCAAATCAACCGAATGTCACCTAGATCAAAAATAGAGGAGACAGGCTGCTTAAATTTGGCCGCAACAAGGGCGCGTTCCCTGCTTGTCTTTGGTTTTCCAACTTTGGCAGAGCCAATCGTGCGCGCGTCTGTGCCGGCCGGGGGAGGGCTGGCTGGCCATGCACGCGCGCACAAGGCACGCAGCAACACAAAAGTTCCAAGGCCCCCCCTTCCTCTAGCAGTCGCGAGGCGGAGCGGAAGGCAGGCCGGTGTCCTGCCTCTGCCTGCCTTGCGCGCCCTCACGACCCATCCGCCATCCCGTCGTCCGTCGAGCGCCGGCGGGCAGGCCATGCATGCGCCCAGCTAGCTCATCACACAGCGTCGTCTCGATCTCGACCTGCTCCCGCGTGACCGCGTCCACATCGATCGGCGCGCGCCCGTGAGTGGGCGCGCGCGTGCACGGTTTCTCTTCGCATGCCCCTGTGATGGTCGGTGGGTTCCTGCGGCGCGGCCACAGCCTTGACAGGTTCCTGTCGAGGAGGCGGCGGGCCGTCTCGCCCAGCCCCTCGTTCTCGTCGTCCTCCTCCTCCTCTTCGCCGTCGTCTCCGCGTGGCAGCAGCGTCAGGAGCGGGATGGCGGAGGACGACGACGACGCGCCCACCACGGCGCCACCGCCGCTGCCGCTGCAGAAACGGGTCCTGTCCAGGAGCCATGGCTCGCGGGCCACTCCTGGCCGGTCCCAGTCCCAGGACCTGCCCCCGGTGCCATCGAGAACCATCCGCGACAGTGGACCGCCTTCAGGTGATGTGATGGGATGTGATCACCGTTACTGCATGCTAACCATCTGTGTTCTTCAATTCTCTTGCGATAACATCGATCTGGTCCTTTAATTTTATACAAGAGTTTCTCAGGGTGATCTCCGCTCTGTGCAGAGTTGGATTTGATGAAGGAGAAATTCGCCAAGCTGCTGCTTGGGGAGGACATGTCCGGCACGGGCAAAGGGGTGTCCTCCGCTCTCGCTCTCTCCAATGCCATCACAAACCTCGCAGCCTCCATATTCGGCGAACAGCGCCGCCTCGAGCCCATGTCTGCGGAGCGGAGATCGCGATGGAACAAGGAAATCGACTGGCTCCTCTCGGTCGCCGACCACATCGTCGAGTTCGCTCCCTCGCAACAAGTATCCGAGGATGGAACAAACATCGAGGTCAGCAATGAAATACTAAGGCCTTGGATTACCTCAAAATTCCTAGTTTTTTCACTCTCTCTTCGTCACATCAAATTTTGGACGCATGTATGGAGCATTAAATGTAGGTAAAAAATAACTAATTACACAGTTTTGTTGTAAATCACGAGACAAATCTTTTAAGCCTAGTTAGTCCATGATCGGACAAAGTTTGTCAAATACAAACGAAACGTGCTACAGTGTCCATATTACAAAAATTTACAATCTAAACCAGGCCTAAGCAATAAATTTCACCCTGCAACTGCACTTGTGACTTGTACACTGCATTTCGTCCTTATTGGATCTCCATTCTCCAATCAGGTGATGGGCACTCAGCAGCGCGGTGATCTCCTTGTCAACATCCCCGCCTTGCGAAAACTCGACGCCATGCTCCTCGTAAGCATGACCGTATCTTTCTTTCTTTGGAGCTCATCCAATCAAATATACAGATGCAACGGCGCCGGTTTTTTTTTCTGAATTCATCTCGGCGCTGTTTTTTTCTTTTTTCTGCCGTGGAATGGAACAGGAGTATCTTGACAGTTTCGGCGAGGCCCAGGAGTTCTGGTACGTGGCGAAAGACGCGGACGGCGGTGAGGACGCTGACGACACGTGCGACAAATGGTGGATCCCGACGGTGAGGGTCCCCGCCGAGGGCCTGTCGGAGGCGTCCAGGAAGTGGCTTCAGCACCAGAAGGAGCTTGTAGGGCAAGTGCTCAAGGCGGACATGGCCATCAACGCCGATGTCCTCGGAGAGATGGAGATCCCCGATGAGTACATCGAGTCCCTCCCAAAGGTGATTCATCATGCATAAGATCCTTTTCCTTTCAACAAGAGAGGCTGCTAAAAATTCACTAGATAACCCAAAAAAAAAAACTCAGACTAGCCTCTTCCTTGAAAATGTGCAGAATGGAAGGTCCATTCTTGGAGACTCGATATACAAAATCATAACCGACGATGTTTTCGACCCCAACGAGCTCCTGCAGTCCGTAGACCTGTCGACAGAGCACAAGATCGTGGATCTCAAGGACCGGATCGAGGCCTCCGTCGTCATCTGGCACAGGAAGATCTGTCACAAGCTATCGTGGGCCCATGCTGGCGTCAGCTTGGAGAAGCGGGAGGAGTTCGAAGAGCGGGCACAGACTGCCCTGCTCATCCTCAAGCACCGGTTCCCCGGCATCCCTCAATCGTCGCTCGACATCAGCAAGATCCAGTACAACACGGTACAGACTACAGAGAGAGCCTTCTGTTTTTTTCAGCTAGTTTCCAATTTTTTGTCCATGAAGTCATGAACTGAACCAAATTTCAGGATGTTGGGTATGCCATCTTGGAGAGCTACTCCAGGACACTGGAGAGCTTAGCTTTTGCAGTTTTGTCTCGGATTGAAGACGTTCTCCACGCCGACGCCGTCGCCTGCGATCCCAACAAGCGGAACAAGTCTAGGAGACGGCCTAGTCTAGAGTCTCCTGTTCCTGATGCCGCCGCTGAAGCGCATCACGGCAGTTGCGTGCATTGGCAGGACCAAGACGCTGAGGACGGCGAGAAGCATCCGGATGGTAATAACGGTAGAAAGCTGAAGAAGATTCACAGGGTGGTGACGAAGAAGTTCCTTCACACACAACAAATCGACAATGTGGCGAGTGGGTTGAAGAGCTTCACACACAGATAGCAGCGGTGCTGTGAGTGAGGTTTGAGATGACCAGTTTTGCGTGCATGGACGGTGTCCATACTATTCGGAAACGAACATGTAAATAGTTCAAGTTTATATACAAAAATAGGACCACGGGATGTGGGGCGTGGCCGAGGGATGATAGCATGCGTTCCTGTCCAAATTTACTCTGAACACGTCTGCTACCAGAAATTGTTGCACGGCGACTCGGCGAGCACATGACCCGTCAGCTCCATCGTTGCCATTGCGACGCAACCTCACGCCGCCATTGCCATGCCCGCTCGTGTTTGACTTTAGAGAGGGGTGCGCAAAGCTGCACTGCGTAACGGTCGTTGCCACGCATCCTCACGCCATTGCATAATGACATTTGAGAGTGCGCAAAGCTGCACTGCATAATGACATCAAATGGCAGTAAAATACCTGTGGTTCTCTCAGCATCAACTTTGTGTCGCGACGAATCGAAAGTTGCTCGAACCGGCGAATATAGCATACGAATACCAAATTGTGCATGACTCAACGACGACAGTTTCATATACTACGTGGAACTGATCTTGTCCGACGACAAGTTATTCAAAGATCGAGTTCAAACTAGACTGACATCCACAACATGGCCGAGCTTTTAGAAGAGATCAAACTCCTAAAGGGCTTTCAGGATCTCCTCAGCACCGGAGATTGTGAACTGTCCACCTTCCTCGATGTTTGCGACACTGACCTTGAGGTCGTCAGCCAGAAGAGCAAACCTTTTTGAGCGGACGCCCAGTCCTTTCTCTGTAAGATCAAGCTCAAGATCGAGTGCCTTGGTGTATGCTCCAGATCCGTCAGCAAGGAACTTCACATGTTTGTTCTCAGGGTAAGTCTTTGCCCATGCCTTCATGACAAATGGGTCGTTAACTGCGTATCACAATGCAGCAAATTATGTCATAGTCTGGCCTAGCTACTTTTGATCAAGCTCATAAGCACAACAGGGCAAATTGATGAAATTCAGTCGGTGTAATAGGAAGGGGTAGAACAGATTTACAGTTACTAAATATGATCAATGCTACATGCTAGCCTCCTGGCAGCAATTATTTACAGATGCACCATAATGCTTATGAAACATAGCAGATCATCACTTAGCATTTTGCTTTTTTATTTAAATTTCAAACATTCAGTGATAGAGAAGTACAGGGAAAAAAATGCATGACAACATTGTGTAACATTACAGCAGAGGTACCATACAACTAGGCAAAGAACATTAAGAAAATCACAGTATCTGAAAGAACAATATAAGTTGTGCACTGCTTCATATTCAGCTCAGGATGTTTGCAATGAAAAAATTATCAAAACAACTGTCTTTGCAAATACAGATAGGCAAATATATGTTGGAAACATACCGCTGATAAGCAGGATCTCATCTACACCCTTGGCTTTGAGCTGCTCAGCCTGTGTAATGAAGCCTGGCACATGCTGGTTGCTATGAACATATAAGAAATGCACAGAACAGAGAGCCTGAGTACTTCAGCTTTTCACAAAAATAATATAAGGATTTCAGAGATACAAGAGCAATAGAACTCTTGGCTTCCGTTAGTGGAATTACCTTCAATGCAAATCTTTTTATAATTTAAGCAATTTGCAATTTTCCATTGAACTTCTCAAATTAAAGCAGCTAACCAATTTTACAATACTAATAAGCATTAACACAGACTAGCCGTGATTCGTAAATAATCAAACAAAAGATAATACCTTTTGTTCGCACTAAACTGAAATCATAGGTTATAGTTAGACTAGATAAAATTCAGTAGTTACAAGAGGGAAGCTACCATGCATGAAAAATTCATGGGTTGTAGTTAGACTAGATAAAATTCAGTAGTTACAAGAGGAATGCTACCATGCATGAAAAATATACTGGCATGTAGTGATGTTATTCAATTTCCTTCTGTAAAGGGACAATTAATCAAGGAGGACCTACCTACAGCCCTACACCATCACAATCCATTCACTGTGGGAGGGGGCCATAGTTGCACCGCAGTTGCTGATCCTTCTTAAGGACCAGTATACATGCAGAAGGTTCTCACGACACATTATCTTCCCAAAGTTGTGGGACGGGTGCTGCTTGAAGGCCCAGATCTCAACAAGGTAGTCCTTATTCAAGCTGCACCGTTGCGTGAACTCAATAGACCCCTCCATCCCCTTGAAGACCGTGGTTTTCTAGCTGACCCAACGTTGACAGGTTCCGCTCCTCACTGCCAGCAATGCACCTGACGCTGACTAGGAGGTGGAACCGGTTCTGCTACACTTCAAGGCCGGACTATTTCACGATCCTCTCAGCGCGCAAGCATGGTTGCTCTTCTCTGTCGGGTACCGCCTGCAGCAGATGTGCTGTCGATCTGGCATGGCTAAGACCGGGGGGGTTTATCCCTAAAACTCTACTAGTATTCACTCCGAATCCGAATTGGAACTAATTAATCCCCCAAAAAACCCAGATAATCGCCCTCCGCCTCGACGAGACCTAGAAAAAAGACATTTCTCCCCCCAAAACACAGGGCCAAAAAGCTCGGAGATCTCCGAGAAAGTGGGAGGAAGAGACGGGCACGGGAAAGGGGGTAGGGACCTGCAGGTCGGGGTGAAGGCGCCGGGGACGCCGAAGAGGATGACCTTCTTGCCGGCGGCGAGCGCGTGGACGGAGACCTGCTGCAGCTGGTCGTTCTCGTCGAACCACCCGAGCTGGCCGTCGGGGAGGGAGTCACCGACAGCGATCGGAGCCATGGCCGTGCAGGGGTGTTGGGGGCAGCGCGGCGAGGAGAGGAAGCGCAGGCGAGAGTGAATGGGGACTTGATTGCGGGTAGTGGTGGGTGGCCGATGGCCTCGCCGCTTGGAGGTTGGAGTATTTGTTGGAGCTGAGGCCTGGTGGGTGGGGGCGCTGCGTGGCGGACCCCACGTGTGAACGCAATGATTTTGGCGGATATGCCGGTATGCCGCGGTCCGCGAAGCGAGCAGGTCGGGGTCTTGGGGGCCGGCCGCCCGGGGAAATTGGACTCATTTTTCTATGCAACTAGGAGCACTAGACGGTGGTTCAGGATAGCCGCCGGCTGAACTTTTCCGAATAGAAATACTCCATGTTTTTAGTTTGCATCGCCGTTGGCTCACATACACAAAACACGCAGAATCCACGACTACTTCCTTGCTGACCTCCAATAGCACCGGTCCCACTAACAAAAGAGAAATGCTACACCTCACTTGAGTGTTGGAACATTCGATTCCTCTTCTTCTCCATCTCCGACAGGCTTAGAAGGGATTCGGAAGAGACAGGCTAGTCAGATAGTGGGGATAGTGGGAGGCGGCGGTTAGGGTTCCAACGACGTAGGAGGTGGTTAGGCCATAATGGGGCGAGGGCGTCCATGGCCATAGCGGCGGCAGGAGGGGAGAGGGAAAGAGGAGGTCGCCGCGGGCGGTATGGGGGAGTGTTTTTAGGCCTCAAAACACAAGAGTTCTCGCTAGATAAATTTTAAAAAAAGGTCTCACTACATTGGTGTCAAAACGGCTAGACGAGAGCTCTCAATGGCCCCATTTGCTTCGCTGAAAAAACAAGCCGAAATACTGTTCCGACTGATTTGTTGTGAGAGAAAAATACTATTCCAGCTAAAAAACAAGCTAAAAAAGATGAATTATAAGATAAGCGAACAAGTCCAATACCTCCGTGGTCAACGCGTTCAAGGCAAGCAGGTACTATGCGAAGCGGCCTGCTGTGAACGGGCAGGCCGACCTATCTTATTTCTCAAGTTGAAACACCCCATGTGTACTGCGCTTGTACTCCACTCTCTTGAAAGGTGGAGTTTGAGATTGATATCCTCCCCTGCATGCTATTCCTTGAATCCTCGTGCCATATCATGACCCTGGCTATCATGGGTGTTACTGTACGGTGTTGGACAAAGAAGGATTCATGGCTGCTAAGAGCATTTCTAGCAGATGTCCATTAGAGCTCTCTGGATAAAGTGGTAACGGTGCTACCAATACACCTTTTTTTGAATCGGTAATGATATATGTCGGGCGTCCGACCCTTCAGTTCACCTCCGGACGTGGCTCGCTCTCCTCCACTCAGCTCGTGGCTTATCCTTATCCGCTTGCCCCACGTTGCTCCGCCCGCTCCAAACGGTGCGCCCCCACTCGGGTAGCAACGAGATGCTCGCCGCCACACCCTCCCGAGCCGCTGGCGGCGCCGCCCCGCCCGAGCCGTGCGCCGCCGTTCGCAGTAGCAACGAGCCACTCACCGGTGCCGGTGCCACCCCCGCCTAGGCCGCTCGCCGGCACACCCTCCTGAGCTGCTCACACGATGCCACCCCCGCCCGCACCTCTCCTTCCTCAACCCCGGCGTCCTCCTCCGCGGCGGCTCCTTCCCGCACCCCGGTGTCCCTCCTCCCACACCCCGACGGCGCCGCCCCCGCCCGCACCGCTCCTTCCCCGACCCTGGCGTCCTCCTCCACGGCTGCTCCTTCCCGCACCCCGGCGTCCCTCCTCCCCCACCCCAGCAGCGCCCCTCCCCCATAGCGGCGTCCTCCCCCACAAGGAGCTCCGGACACCTGCAGATCCGGCGACCATGGCGCTCCCCGCACCAGGCTCTCTTCTCTTTCCCCCATGTTGCAATTGTGTCTTCAATTGTTTCAGAAGCTTTAGAGGTATGTTGCAGTAGAATCATATGGTTGATTGCAAAAGTAGATCTGGCATGTTGCACTTTTGTTGATATGTTGCAAGTGTTTCAAAGGATTGTTGCAAGCACTTTGTTCAAAATGTTTCACGTGTTTCTACACAATGTTGCAATCATTTCTGGTCTGGATGTTTTCATATGATTCACTCAATTGTTGCAATAATACTTTCCAAATTGTTTCAGTTGCTTTTAGTCTTATGTTGCAGTAGTTATTCCACGTTGTTGCAAGTGTTTTTTATTTGAGCGTTGTTTCATATGCTTTCAGCCTAATGTTGCAGCGGTTGTTCTGTGTTGTTGCAATAATATGTTCATGGTGTTT